CTCCTTATTAGCTAAATCGCTTAAGCGGTTACCCTCTTAAGCATACAGTTAGACTTCTGCTGGTAGAGTTACTGCCAACCCATCTAATATAGTTAGGATGTTCCGGGATCACCTAGCCTCTGTTTATTCTGGTTCCCCCACTTTTGATTCAACTTTGGCTGACGAGCTCTTTCAAGATCTGTGCTTTGCCTCTATCCCTTCGGCCACTAGTGACTCTTTAAACTATATAGCTGAAGATGAGGTCCTGGCGGCGATTTCCTCCGTGAAGCCTGATAAATTTGGGGCCCTGATGGCTTTTCTAATCTCTATTACAAGATGTTTAAAGATATATTAGCTCCCCACCTTACACATCTCTTCAATGCTTTGAGGCCAGGCTCTTCCTTTCACCCCACCTCCCCCTCTGCTAATGTAGCAATAATTTCCATTTTGGGTAAAGACATGAATGTTGCTATCTGTTAAAATCATATAGGGAAATATGTATGTAGTAAACCTAAATGATGATTGATTTTCTATATTTTAATCTATCCAAGTTTGGAAATGCAGTTTAACTGTTCTACTGATTTTGAGTTACAAATGGTAATCAATCAGTAAGCCTGTTAGGCAGACCCTAAGTATAGTTAAAACAGCTGTTAGAAATGTCTTAAATGGGATTGAAGAGTAGTTGAAGGAATACATGTGACTCAGGTCAAAAAGTATGGAACTCCCTTATGCTAATGTGAATGACTTTTAAGGTAAACCTCTCATAGGTTATTTTAAAGTAAGAACATGGATATAAGGACGGGGGATGGTCCTTCAAGGACATTCACACTCACACGCACACACACACACACACACCGACTCACACCCACACTCGCCCACACTGACACAGAAGACAGACTCACCTGTTAAGGACTATTTTTTACATACAGACTAAAGACATGTTTCTTAAGCATCTTATAGACTTATGTTGTAAGATATACTATATTTTTTAATCATCAAACATCTTATAGACTCATGCTGTAAGATATACCATATCTTGTAATCATTTGTAACTTTTGCAATTAAACACACATTTTTGAATTTTATACAAGAACGGAAGCAATTTCCTTTTTTGAACTTCTTCCACCCTATGCTACAAGAGAAAGAATATGACATAAAAAAAATCATATATCTACACTATCTACCGCCCAACAGATGTTAAGCTTTTGGGGAAGATACTGGTGGGTAGGGTTAACACTTTCCTGTTCTCTACATAGGAACCAGGTGGGCTTCACTCCTTTCTGACAGACTGGGGATAATGTGCTGAGAGTGGTCCATTTGATTCATCTTATGCTTCAGAGATCTCTTACTGGATTTCTTCTTTCATTTGACATTCAAAGGCGTTCGACACTGTATCTTGAGAATACTTGCAGTATGTTTTAGGGAGATGGAACTTTGGTCCTTTTTTCTGCACATGGGTCTCTGCTCTGTATCATCGCCCTTCAGTGCAAATTATGTATGCGGGGCACTTCTCTTTCCATACTGTACATACTTGCCATTAAGCCTCTCGCTATGCTAATTCGAAATAATCCATTTATTAGAGGGTTAGAAGTGGCTGGTATTCCATTTAAGGTCAGTTTATTTGCTGATAACATCCTCTTGACCCTTACCCAGCATTTAATATCTTTACCCTTCCTCTTCTCTACTCTTGAAGCTTTTGGTAAACTCTCAGGATTGACTGTGAACTGTTGTAAGTCTCTAGCTCTAAATGTTACTCTCTCACATTTCACTGTAGATCTTCTGCGTCAGAATTTTGAATATCTCCACACCTCCCTCTTACCACTCTCTTAGGGAATCCTATGACAGAAAATTCTTAAGCTTTTACTTGGCGGAAAACCAGTAGTTACCCTACCCTTTTCTGCTTTCTCCATGACTCTAAATTGCTTTCTAGGGAATTGTTCCTCTTTATCCAAATTAGACATTAGTCCCATTCTCTGGTTTCTGGTCATGATATTTCTACTTCACTCAACTCTTTTAAACGTATTTGTCTTTAATTCTCTCGTTCTCCAAAACTCATCTCAATGTTATATTCTCAATTGAGCTTGTACTCTCCCGCAACTCATAAATAAGTTGAAAGGTGGCAACGAGATTTGAACCATGTCAAGTAATTAGAAGATTTGTCTGACATTTGGGATTTTGGGACACGAGGTGCTCTCGCAACATCACGACACAGGCATCTGCCTATAAGGTACTTTCTAGATGGTGCCTAATCCCTTCTATGATTAACTGTCTCCTGCCTACTTATTCTAGCAATTTTGTTTGTGAATTAACATTCTTACTGATACCTGCAAGACATTTAGGGGAGTCTGGAATCCTTGGTCTTCCACCATCCTCTCCACCCCAAAACCAGTGACACTTAATCTTATGCAGTAGTCTGGACATTATGAAACCCACGGAACAGGCGCCACCGTTTGCTTCTAGCTCTCTCACTGCTTTCTCTTCACTGCTTTAACTTTTTGCTTTCTTTCCTCCCTTCATCTTCTCCACTTTTTATCTTCTTTCCCCTATTTATCTCTAGGACGCAACAGGATTCAAAAAAGTTGGGGCAGGGCCATGCTTACCACAGTACAGCATCTCCTCTTCTTTTAACAACACTCTGTAAATGATTGGAAAATGAGGAGACCAGTTGCTGGAGTTTTGGTAGTGGAATGTTGTCCCTTTCTTGCCTGATATAGGATTCCAACTGCTCAACAGTCTTGGGTCTTCTATGTCATATTTTTTTGTTTCAAGATGTGCCCAATATTTTCAATTGGTGAAAGGTCTGGACTACAGGCAGGCCAGTTAAGCACCCAGACTCTTCTACTACAAAGCCATGTTGTTATCGATGCAGTATGCAGTTTAGCATTGCTCTGCTGAAATATGTAAGACCTTCCCTGAAAAAGACACCATCTGGATGAGAACATATGAGGCTCTAAAACCTGGATATATCTTTCAGCATTGATGGTGCCTTTCAGGATGTGCAAGCTGCCTATTCCATGCACACTAATTCATCCCTATACCATCAGTGATGTAACCTTTTGAACTGAGCGCTGATAAGAAGCTGAAAGATCTCTCTCCTCTTTAGTCCAGAGGAGACGGCTCCCATGGTTCCCAATAAGAATGTCACATTTCAATTCTTCCGACCACTTTTTCAATTGGCAACAGACCTTTGACTCAAAAGCTTTGGCCCAAAAAGACGGCGGCCTGTCTGGATCATGTTCAGACAGGGCTTCTCCTTTTCATGATAGAGCTTTAACTTGCATTTTTGGATGGCACAGCGAACTATGTTCACAAACCGTGATTTTTTAAAGTATTTCTGAGCCCATGCAGTAATGTCCATCACAGAATCATGCCTGTTTTTAAAGCAGTGCCATCCAAGGGCCCGAAAATTACAGGCATCCAATATTGCGTTTAGGCCTTGTCCACGCAGAGAAATTTCTCCAGATTCTCAGAATCTTTTGGTGATATTATGTACTGTAGATAATGATATGTTTAAAGTATTTCCAATTATACGTTGGGGAACTTTATTCTGAAACTGTTCGTCAATTTTTAGACGCAGCTTTTCACAGATTGGTGTACCTTTGCCATCTTTACTTCTGAGACACACTGACCCTATAAGATGCTCTTTTTATACCCAATCATGTTACTGACCAGTTGCCAATTAACCAAGTTATTTGCTAAATGTTCTTCCAGCTTCTCGTTGTTAGTACCACTTACTTTGCCAGCTTTTTGTTGCCCTGTCCCAACTTTTTTTGTGATGTGTTTCTGCCATCAATTTAAAAATTACTTTTCTTTTCTTAAAATGGTACATTTTCTAATTGTGAACATTTGATATGTTTTCTTTTTTCCTTTTATAAAATAAAATATGGGTTTATAAGATTTGTAAATCATTGCATTCTGTTTTTATATAGATTTTACACAGCATCCCAACTTTTTGGGAATTGGGGTTGATATATCTTAGTGTAAAAGACATTCCATTCTTTTTCTAATTAAAAGAAAAAGAAAACGTATGTAAGAGATATAGCACCTGATCTACAATAAGGGTTTAGAATCTTTATGCAGTAAATTTTGTGGATAGTCACATCTAATCAGGTGAAAAGCAAATTGTTATTTACTACTTCTGCACATGATTGGGTAAATAAGTTTATGTGAAGATTTCCAACTCCTTTCAGTAGATTTTTGTGAGGAGGAAAAGTAGCTGGCATAAACCATTCTTCAACTGTAAGACATTGCAGAGGTTTCTTACAAATCAGCAAAGCTTAATGGTATTCCGTTCTGCAATTGGTGGTAGTCAATACATTCAATGAGATGTCATTTACTTATTCAAGGAGAATGAGATTAAACAACCTCACTGTTATCTAAAGTGAAACATTTGTAGTTCAAACTATAAAATAGATAGGTGATGCAATAACAGTCAAGTCGTCTCATTACTGTCCAGCAATGACTTATTTCATGCAAGTCAAACAAGTAGAGTAGGACATTGGATAATATTGGCAAACATTTATTTATATTTGAAACATGTATTTTATGTAGAAGGGATTTAGATATTTTGTGATAAATTCTTAATTTCTTTGCTGAATATTATTAATAGTGTGAAAATAACTCCCTGTTTAAGCATAGCAATTCTGACAGGTCCCACCCTCCTTTCTAATATTTCCATATTTACATGGATAATGAAATGCAGAGCACCCATTCTATGAATAGTATGAACAGCAACAGAGCAGGGGACTTTTAACAGTAAACTCTTGACAATTAATCTCCCAAGGCATTTAGGAAGCCAACTGATGACACTTTCCCATGCACTGACGCGTGATGTAGGTTTATGGCAATTAGCCTTTATATCACTATGTTACTTTTGTCTTTTAAAGTTTTCATCCTGTTCCGTGCTGAAAATAGCTTTGATCCTGTTACTAAAGTGTGGTGGGTTAAATGTTATGGTTTTGTCTGGTGATTGATGTAATATTTTTATTATATTGTTTTGTATTCTAATTTTCCTTTTGTAGATGACTCCAGTGGGAAAAGAACAGATTTCACTGACCCATCAATTTGCCATGCTCCAGGAGGGGAGTACTTTGTTGAAGGAGAGACGTGGAACATTGATTCTTGTACTCAATGTACCTGTCATAGTGGAAGAGTGCTATGTGAAACTGAGGTCTGCCCTCCGCTGCTTTGTCAAAATCCTATGCGTTCTCAGGACTCCTGCTGCCCACATTGCCCAGGTATAACTATTTATATTTTAAGCAGCAATTTCAAAATGTTCAAGGCCTAAGTAAAATACATCAGCATGAAATGACTGTAAAAATTGTTTTGTTGTAAAAAAAAAAAAAATGTCCTTGACTGTTGCCTAAGATCTTACAATGTATTTTAACACCTCACAAGCCTCCTCTATGCTAAGTATAGTATTCTTAGTACCTGAAGTTAAACATTAGAAATGAGGACGATCATGGGGGGAGCTGTGCCTATTTATTTCTAAGGAAAAACAACATTTTTAGAATCTTTTTTAGTTAAGTTAAACATATTTCCTAATTTCAAGCTCTGCAGCCGTTACTCTATAAATTATTTGATGCCTAGAGTGACATTTTTGTTTGAAAATTCATGACTTAACAGGCTTCATTTACTTTTGCAAAATAAATATTCTATTAGGTTAACATGAGATTTGTCATGAACTAAATTATCCTCTTCCAGAGTAAAGATTCCCACAGACATTGATGCAGATGATTGTTGTCTCTCTGTGCATCTAAGGGCACTCTGTTACTTCTCTAGGGAAACCCTGACCAACTGTTTCCAGGGCAAGAATTGATTGATCAGGTTGGGTTTTCTTGGCTGATTGAATTTGTCTCTCCTATCATAAGCCATTAGTGCATTGTAGACACTCAAAATTGATGGTGGCGATAAGTATAGTAGCTGGAAGTCTTCTGCACCTTACATTTAAATAGAAGAAATACCTGGACATTACCTGATCATATGTAATTTTACAGACTATTATTGCCACAACTGAAGTTCAACTTTGGTAATATAGTAAAAGAAAGCAACCAAGCCACAGGTATGCTTCAGAAAGACATATTTAAGAATAATGTTCTGCTACTTGCTACCCAACAATCCCCAAGTCCCTGTTCACACCTGGGCATTTTGACGCTCAAAGCTGAGTGTGACAAAACTCTCAACACAAGAAATCCCATTAATTTTTATGGCCCTTGTTCACACCTGAGAGTTTTGTCGCAAGCAGTAAAACAGCGAGCACTGGAAAAGGTACATGAGCGTCTTTTGGGCAGATTACAGAATGTTTGGCTACGTAGCCTTTAATGGAAGCGCTTGAAAATGCAAGCGTTTTGTGTGTGTTTTTTGCACACGTTTGCTCATTCACAGTAATGCATTCCAGCCTGCTCAATAAAACATGCGTCTTTGTATATGCACCTCTGACGTGCGTAAAAATATGCAAAGCGCAAATTGTGCGAGGGAAAGACTGCATAAAAACGCATGGAAACGTTTATTAGCACTTTCAACCACCTTTTCCTTGACATAAAACATTAAATGGCTTTACCTACACCAGTTTATTTTTAAATATTTATTTATATGGCAGGAACACCAGTTGGGGTTTTATCACCTTTGCCATCGAACGTTGGTTGAAATTACTACACAGTTTCGTGTTTGTAAAGCCAACATTTGCACGACAGTATGTCCACTTGTTATTTCTTTTCTGTTTTATACATGTAACTTATTACACTTGCATCCTCCAATGATTACCAGCTTCCGCACAGTCTTTGTATGAAAATGTTTTTAGCTTTAAGATATATATTATTATTATTATACCATATTGTTCTGTCAGTGCTGTGATAGACAAAGCCTTTCAATCATCTCTCCAGAGTGCAGAGACATTCTGAGTTTATACGTCACAAACACTTTGGAGAGGAATAGCTACCTTAATGAGCTTAGTAAATTGCAGGTGCTTCAGGTAATGGCAATGTGTATAATTTCCCTTGGTGGAATTTAGTCACAAAATGAAGCATTTATGTGATTGAATGATGGATGAATACAGGTGCAGCAGCACAACTTTCTTTGTGAATTGAACAGCACTGTAATCCTACTTGTGGATAGACATGTTTGAGCCCTCTTCAAGGTGCTTTTTTTAAATTCTATAAATCTTGATCGAAGATGATTTACAGCAGTTTTTTAAGTATTTTAAAGAAATCATACAGCATATTTTGTCGAAGCATTAAAAACAAGAATCTGTAGTAAATTAGCAACTACCTGCCTTAAACGTATGCCGTCATATTGAATTTGTCGCTGAAGGCAGTGGTGCAGGTGATGCCAAGCAAGATAAAGGATGTAGTAGGGAACTATTTACAGCATTGAGTCCCCTCAGGAACCGTTGTCCAGAAAACAATATAAAATTGAGTTTTGTTCATGCAAGCATAAGACATCCTGCAAAATATGACAACATTGCAAGAGTGGTTAAAGGAGAACTATGAGGTGAGTGCTTTTCACTCACCTCATAGTTCTAGCCGACCTGTGACAATGAGACTGTCACAGGTTGGCTCAGTAGATCGGGAGGTGAGGGAACACATAGCGGGTTCGCTTGCCTCTCGATCCTGTCACGGCTCTCTGCCTTGACAGGGGGAGGGGCTGGATTCCCCTCTCCCCGCTCCGATCTACCCGCGCTGACTGGCGGAACGGACGGGGGAGGGTACAGCTGGCTCTGCCTCTAGATAGGCAGAGCCAGCTGTCACTCACGAAGCTGGGCGGATCCCGTCATCTAAGTCGAGATCCGCTCCGGCTGCGGCGTCTCAGTATACCGCGAGCTGTAGCTCACGGTATACTAAGCTTAGGGTAACGGGAGGACGCTAGTTTGTGTCCTCCCATTACCCTAAGGAGAACTTTGGGGAAAAACACTGACCCCATAGTTCTCCTTTAAGGAAAAGTTTACTTATTTCAACTCCGATCTTCTAAAACTAAGAATCACAAAGAACAGCAGACACTATGATAATTTTAAGTAGTGCTTTTAAATGTTGGTTCTCAGCAACCACCAACCAGTCTTTTATACCCTATGTCCAGGTAACTGCACAGTTCAAAGTAGTTCAGAAAGCAGTGCTTTTGAATCAAGACTATTCGAAAATATTCCACTAAATTGTGAAGCATTGTGAAGAATCCAATGCATTGCATTATTTGTATTGCCCTGCAGGTCCCTTAGAAGTCAGTTGAATAGGCTTCTTTGATGTAAATATACTTTATTGCAGTGCAAATTGCTCAATGAAAGCCTTGAAAGCTCCAGAGATTTTCATTAACCAGGCTTTATATAACAAAACTCCCTGTGCCATCAAATGTGTTTTATTTTACGGACATGCATATCCATATATATGGTGTCAGGTGTTCAGCTTTTTTACACAACAATAGTGGGAAAATGGTAAACCAGCCAGTTGCAAGCTGAACCTGTTGACACCATATATGCTATCTTAATATCATACACACCTGTAGCAGTTACTTCAGAGTTGTAAGCAACCAATCCGGTAGAAGAAAACAGTCGGACCTATAGTATGATAGATGAACTGATGGAAGTTGTTTGATCTAGTGTCTTCATCAGAAAATTTTAGACTGCTGGTCACAATAACTGTTTTATGTACAGTAAAAAGAAAATTCAATTGGCCATCACCTATAGAAACTTTCAATACAGTTGTATAATCCATAGCCTTAAGGCGTGTTTCATATAAAAGTTCACTTTTAATATTCAAGAACCTATACAGATATGACACAGAGGACTTACATTGACACACTGATCCAGCTCCAGGATTTATTGTTTTATATAGAAAAACACCAACCTGGTTTCAGCTGTGCCGATACATTTTCCCTTGAGCCTATAAATCACTACCTTCAGCTTGACAGATGTCAGGAGCTGGGTAGTGGCATTGCATACCTAGAGTTCATTTTCTGCTCTTGATTGAACCTATACTTTCCAAAGCCTGGAGTACTTAGAGGTCAGCATGGCTGAAGTAATGATTTATTTACGCTAACATAACTGAAAGGAATCAACATGTGCATTGCATGCAGGTGCTTTTAAATGGATGGACCTTCTCTATAGGGATTCAAAGATAAGGCTAAAACTAGTCAACAATATTTTTTGCTATGCTTTCGACTGTCTTCATTAGAGCACCATAGAAAATCATTTACCACAAAGAATGCATTACTAATTGTGTATACTAAATGAGTTAGCCTCTCATCTAAATTAGAGATGGAACATTATGAAATAAATGCCTGTGATTTTCTAAATAGATGCTAAGCTGTAATTACATGTCATCTCTTTATTGAATTAGTTATTAAGTGCTAGATTCTAGCAACCAATGTTCTACCTACACTGTCTTTAAATATTTATAAATTAATCAATAATAAAGCAGATCTTTTGATTGGATACACAGCAGTTTATGACTGCAAGGGACACTGACTGCATATTACACCATGCATATTTCTGGAAAACAAGCACATAACTTCAAAGAAGTCCTACAAAGTAACTTCAAAGAAGTCCTACAGCAGGAGCCATCCTTTGCTTTTATCTTTAATTTAAATACCATCTAAGCCAAAAAGCTGATATATTTGTCTTTATATAGATAAAATGTAGTATTCATTGTTTAAACTTTATTAAAGTGTTAGTAGTAGATCAAATAGTAATTTATCTTGGGACAATAGCAATTTGAAACCCAAGAACAAAAATGTATTTATTGCAGCTTACCAGTCCTTGGATATGGTGACTGCATTAGATGTCTTTTTCAGGCTTTTTTTTTGCTTTTTCAAGTGGTATCCCTGCAGTCCAGCAACAAACTTCCTGTCCTAAGATGACAGCAATTACTCACCAAACTGTATCTGTGGAGGGACAGGGTTATCACCCTACCTAACGCTTCCCCATCTCTGCATCTCCATAACATGGGGGTTGTTTTGTAGTCCACAGTGAGTACTGGGAACAATGTTAACTGATAAGAATGCAGCAGTGGCACATTGTGAAGAAGCTTATTAGCTCTCTAGATTTCTGGCATGATCAACAGATTTTTATTTATGATTATCGAACAGATATTAGATAATGCTTTCAATTGTATATTTAGTAGATCAAAAGGGAGAAAATAAGGGAAAGTTCATTGTTACGGCTTGTATACACTTTAATCAAATACAATGCAAATCAATGACTATGCATTGTTGATGAGATGAACCAGCATTCAGTGAAAAACTGCATGTTCTTATTTCTTGCAGCCATGTTGTCATACCACTCTGTCGATAATTAAGTAGGAAGGTTAAAGCTTATGAAACAGGTGATTCTGCGTACAGTACTTAAATTCTAAGTAGGGATAGTTTCCTAACCTTTTATATTTCTATTCTAGTAATCACTAAACTTATGTTTCTAACGCAGAGCATTGTAGTGCTGCATGTAAAAATGCTTTGCACTAGAAACATCATTTTGGTGCCTTTAGAAAAGGGACAGATCTCAGAATAAAATGCTTATTTAAAGAAGTGTAAACAAAATAAAATGGCCATAAACCGATGTAAACTGCATAAATAAAATAAAGGATCTATTTGATCGTTGTGGGAACAACCATACATTGTCTCTCTTTTTCATACATTAGAACAATGTAAAGTAATTTTAGGAGGATAATTTTGGTTATGGTTTACAAGGGATTTACTACACATACATGTTGTGATGTAAATGACTGTTTAATAAATCTTTGCAAATTGTCATATGTTAACCACAAAAGTTTATTGTGATTATCATATACGATTTCAAAATGCAATGGCTATACCAGTTAATATAATATGTGCATTATGCATACCGGTCCTCATTTTCTGTGCAGCTGAAAATGAGGACCGGTATTTTGTCATGATGCCAAATATATTTTCAAGCAGGGACATGTTCATGACAAAAACAGGATGACTAAATGTAGGAAGCTAAGGAATGTAGAAGAAATACAGTATGTAATTATTAAGATAAAGTTCTATTCTAAGGTGACTATACAGCTAATTTAATTTGAAGATGAACTTCACACTGGTTGCAATAGCTTCCAGGCCCCATTGAAAACCTGAATTGTTTGAGGAAGTAAATAGATTCCCTGACTTTTTTACTATTACCATCCATTAGTGTAGCGATAGTTTGTTGTATGGTGTGTGGACACTGTACAGGAGGCGTCTGCATACCAAAGGGACTCCACGTTCATCTTGAGTTGTGACTAAATAAATTCTAGAATTGAAGCACCACACTGCAATATTAAAGTCTAGATACCAGCTTATTGTAATGTAAATTCCTATGAAAACTGTACACACAGCCATGCATTTGAAGGGCTAAGCCTTGCATCCTTCATCAGGATTATGAAAGGTGAGAAATTTTGTATGTGGATTTGGTAGCAAAAATATACATTATTTGAACTGATGTGTTGGATTGGCACATCTTCATGAGCAGCTGGTTGTTGCAACACCCAGCTACTGATAAGTGTGTGCCTATCCAACATGCCTGTACAGGTTGCTAGCGTCTAGGCCCTCTGATTTGTTAATGCTAATCATTTAGAATCAGACATTTTCCTTAGGACAATACAAAAAAAGACCACCCCCTTCCCCTGCCAATATGTTAAGGTACGTAGGCCCAGGCTGAGCGATTGACTTCTACCCTAATTGAAATTAGGTCCCACCCCCCTAGGCTAAGCTTCCCTCTTTAATTAAATGCTTTAGCCTCTACTATCCTTGCTAGTTAAATAACAGTGGTGTGATTTAGTACTAGGAGGAGATGGGCTTTAAAGTACATAATAGACCTTAATTGAAGAATATTTAGTTTGCTAAATCACTGTGTCAAAAACCTTTTGCCTTTTTAAAATAAAATACTTATTTTGGCCTTCTTCCCTTGTAACAAATTATTTATTGCTACTGATCTCCTGCAGCATGATTGCTGCCACTTCCTGCCTGCATGCCTGAATTCCAGAGATATCCACATTAAATTTCTTTAGGTTACTTAATGGTGGTATGTGGACCACGCATGCGGTGTGTGTGTTAAAATGGCCACTTGTGGTCTTCATTGAATACATACTGTATAACCAGGATGAAAGTGGAGGAGTATTAATGGGAAATGGGGACAGAGTAGTGTCCTCTTATTAACGTGCAAGGAACGTCATTGGCAGGATTACCAAGTCTTATAATAAAAGCTGCAGATTTAAAAATACTGAAAATTACATTGGGAATTAAGTGAAAGCAACCTCCAGTAATTCGAGGTTTTCTTTCTTCAAACCTCTTAAAAAGATTTTATTCAGCTTCGCAAGATACATCTCCTGCTGTACTTCTGCCCACTTTCCCCATTCCCTACTGACATCAGTGCTGCTTGTATGATAGACACTAGTACTGGTGTCATGTCTATGTTTGGCCATTCAGAAAAGCCATGTCCGTAGTGTCATCACAGCATTTTGTAAATGACCAAGCATACATGGGTATGGAGACACAACACCAGTGTTGGTGTCTATCATAAATGCAACTTTTATGTTGGTGGGGTGAGGATGTTGGGAAGTAAGATTGGAACCCAATGAAACTGAATGCAGTCTATTTAAGCTGTTTTAAGAAAACAAACATGAAAAAACTACAAGACAGAGGTAAACATCTACTAAGTCCTGTAAAGCTATCAAAAGAATGATACCCAGAGTTGAGCATTAACATGTTAAATCTTAAGAGATTATAGTGATTAGGTGTACATGTACTTTATCCTCAACATTGGCCGAAGTTGAGGTCCCATGTTCAGTCTGGTCTTAGGATCCAAGGGATTCCACAAGGACCCAGAGATCGATATAAAAACTAACACAGGTACTTGGTGCCTGCACCTCACCACTTGTTACATTAGTAATGCTTTAGGCCAGGTCTGGTTCACTTTAAGAGAATTCCCTAAAATTTACTTTAAATTCAGATCTTATTGGATGCACGTGTGCCACATAATAGATGAATGTATACTGTAGTTGTATGAATAGCCTAAATGGTTCTAAAAACCTTTCAAAATCTTTCTCTTTTTTCGTTTATAGTAATTTTTTCCTTGTTTTCATAAATGTTCTTTTTCCTCCTTTTACATGCTTCTATCATGGTTTTCAAATGCAATATCATACGCTTCACACCTGTTTCTTATAACTGCTTATCATTATTTTTACAGTTTTTGCTCCACTTTTGATTGAACTTGATTTCGATGCACATTCCCAAGTGTGGGCAAAGCTTATTTTATGAAGTAGGGTAATCTGATACAGATGTAGCATTACTCCAGAAATAGAACAGGATAGGAAACTTATAGTAAGATGTCATGATATTACATTGTTAACAACATACAGTTCCTGAGTGTGCTGTCATGTATTTGAAGGCTCATGGGATTTCTGTCATAAACCCTCTGAAACACATAGTAAATGTATGCTTGCTTACTTGTGGAATAAAAGAAAATGTTTCCAAATAACTTTAGGTAGAACTTCAACCAGGGTATAAATTGCCACTAAACTTATATAATATAAATTATGTGCACTTTTAATGTCTCTTTTTTTAATTGTGATCTGTTGAAGGCTCTTACTAAGAACCCAGAAGCTATACAGATGTATAGTTTAAAGAGCTTGTACATCTGGGAGGGTCCACTGTTGGATCAAACTGTATTGAGTGCAGTCTAATTTGTTTCCGCAAGCAGTACATGTTCCTCCATTGCATTTTTTTGGCTTGGCTTCCCTAGTGTACCACTCTATTTTCCTGATCGCAGCCAAAGGACACATCAAGAGACAGATGCTGCTGTTCTGTACGTTTTCATGAAACTAGATACCATGCCACATTAACAATGTCCTTTATTTACACAGAGGCTTATCCATCAGCAGCATAAAGGAATATACCTTCTTCACACACTAACATATTTTGTATAAGCCCCATTGAATATTCAGCAGGAAATCTGTTACTTCCTTAAAACAAAGCAGATGTACAGTTTGATACTTAGTGTTTACAAATTTGTACAGCAATTAGCAATGAAATAGAGTACACAGCTTCTTTGTTGATTCAATGGACCTTGCCTCTTTTATACCTTCAAATGTTTTGTGTTGCTAAGCTAACATAGTCATATCCTACTGTAAAGATAAGTATTTAAAGTAACAGCTATTATACTGCAACAATTATATTTATATGTCAAATATTTTTGTGCAGCTGCTTATGTGACCTAGAACAATTTCCATTTATAAAAAAAAAACAAAAAGCACCGTCTGACCCTAATTTTGTTTACAGGTTTAAGACGAAAACATTTCTTGGTGCCTACAGGACATGTTTGCTGCTGAGTTCTAGTTCCATCATTAGCCCGTACAATTACTCAATACAGCTAGCCAAAACATACCAGCTCAAAAAGGGACAATGGGATTACTAAAGGCACATAGGCTGTTTACTCTTACAGCAGGGGACTACATTTATGTTTAAATTATAAGTAATGCAGAAGAACTGATACTTTCTGACATAGTAGGGAAAGAAGCAGGAAGACTAGCGTGGTCATATCTCTAATGAAGACTACATATCAGACTCAAGCATGTTTTCAGCACACTGTTTAATAAATTAGATCAGAAAAAAAAGCATGGCATCGTTTTGACTGAAAGCCAGCAAGAAGCAGAATGATTAGAAAGGCATTTCTGAATTAACCACAAAGCAATCCATCTTCTCAGAGCTATCTTTGTTTTGGGTGGAAAGTTAACTTTTGAGTTCCTTTTTAAAATGGAACATTCAAATGCATTTTCCACCTTGCAAACTAACTTGTGTTGGAGAGGAAGGAGGCCGGCAATAAATAGTGCCAGCAGAAAATACACTTTGTACCTGATATCCATGTTTTTTGCCCAGTTCAGAAGATCCGAGCTGATGCTTTCTGCCACTAAATGTTTACATTTACTTTTCCAGATGAATCTCTGCAGCCCTCAGTGCCCAGCAATGAGAGCCTTCCCAGCTACTGCAAAAATGATGAGGGTGACATTTTCCTGGCAGCAGAGTCCTGGAAACCCAATGTTTGCACTAGCTGTGTCTGCATGGATGGAAAGATAAGCTGCTTCGCAGAAACCTGTCCACCTGCAACCTGTGCAAGGCCAGTCTTGAGGAAGGGCCAGTGCTGTCCATACTGCATAGGTGAGACATTATACTATTACTACTTTAAGAATAAATGAATGTTGAGAACGACAATTTTTACATTTATTATAACTCACTCATACAAAATATATTTATTTGTTTATTTATGAAGTCAAAAATATAAGTGTTGCCATCTTTATCACGCAAAATGTTTTCTCCACTGAAGCAGCTTTACTAAAAACCTGGAGTAGTACCATATAAATGATTGGTGCTTATGAAGGGACTGATTGCATACGCTACCAAGCGTTTAACAGGATATCAGGAAAGCCAATAAAAACAGGAGATCAAAGAGCAGAACTGGCTTATTTAAAGCAGGCATTTACCTCCTTTTACTAAAAAACACATCAGCGTGCAGCTCTGCATGCTGATTTAAAATCATCTTACATTCATTAGTTAAACTTATTTTTCCATTTACTTCCTGGTCCAGTTCTGGCACAAATGATGTAAGTGCCCAAGCGTTGCATACTGGGAAGGTTACATTAGCAGAGCATTGCTGGGAAATCTCATCTCTAATCTCATGAGATCTCAGGGACAGGCATTTTCCTCCGCTGAGATGATGTGCATGGTCACATGTCCCAGTCACATGTGCCAGAGTCCAAGGAAGTAAAAGGAGAGCTAGTAATCTGCCCTTAGTTAACATTCGCACTGTCAGAAGACTGGGAAAGAAGAGAGAGATAAGGTATGCAAAGAATACAAATCCGGCAATTATCTAGAAGTATTTGTTTGTAGATTGTCATTACTAAACATTTCGAAAGGTGTGTTTTTTATTTTTTTAAAGATATGGGTAAAGTTCCACTTTAAGGTCTGCTCTAGGTCATTTCACCTGCAAGTTGTTCAAATAGTTATTTTTTTCTTTTTTATTGGCCCCCTGACTTCCCGAGGGAGCATGGAGCTGTCTTCCTGGCCAATCAGGAAGCCAGATGGCGTGTAATGACTCGCCGCCCGGCTTCCTGATTGTTCATAAGCTGGCCAATCAGGAAGCCAGTGGCGAGTCATTATCTGCCCCGGCTTCCTGATTATTCATAAGCTGGCCAATCAGGAAGCCAGTGGCGAGTCATTATCTGCCCCGGCTTCCTGATTGGCCAGAAAGCCAGCTCCATGCCTCCTCGTCACAAAAAAAAAATATCGGTACTCGATACTGAAATACCGGTATCCATGCATCCCTAAAGGATATGTATGCTAATGTCACCAAATTTCTGTTCAGATATATAAGCCACTCGTGCTGGTTTCCTTTTGGGGCAACTATTCCATTATGGTATTGGGTAATGAACACCATTAGAATCAAAGTTACTTGACTTTCCACAAGAGAGTTAAAGAAGAATGCCAGGAAAACTTTTTCTTAAACCTTGCAGTGGGGCTACCCCCACACTGCAAGGGTTAAGTGCTCATTTTTGTCTAGGTTAAAAAATAACAAATTTATACTCTCCCAAAGCTACAAGCCAGCCAGCGGTCACAGTGCTCCCTCCAGCCTGTCTCATCCTCCGCTGCAAGATTGGAATCTTCCTCAGTGTTCTCACGTTTATACACAGTGTATAGATATGATGATTAAAGGGACCTTAGACCTCTGCAGAGGAGGGGGAGAGAGGCTCCAGGGACCGGCCTAAGAACAAGCTGGCTCTGAGCATCGGGTGAGTATAACTTTTTATCCTAGACAAAAACTAGCAGTAAACCTTTGCAGTGCAGAGGTAGCCCCACTGTAAGGGTTAATACAACCCTGGAATGAGTCACCACTCTGCAGGGAGATGATCCGGAACTGAGCAACTGGTGGTATATTATCGCTCAGTTCCCAATCAATAGAGCCGACATGTGACCGCTTCAGTGTCACATGTCAACTCTAATTATGGGGATGAGTTTATTTCACCCTCCCCATAATTCTCCTTTAACACTTTAGGTACAAAAACAGTTGCTAATAACGGATACAAATTGGAGAATCACTCAAATTTGATACAACACATTTTCTCCAGTTTTTTTCTTGAGTTATGTTACATATTAGGGATAGCACTGTATATTTAGAAAAAAAATCCTATATGTCAACCAATTTTTTTTTTACAGCTATTCACATTTATAGTTGCTATTTATCTAGTAATAAACATTGTAACTCTCCTTTCTATAACTTAAAATATTAATGTAGAACTGAATCCTAAACATTTTTTCTATTTTTGGATAGAGTAAGGGTGGGTTATCACTTCTGTTAGCTTTTTTACCATGTGTGTCCCATTGGGAAGACTTGACTTCACTTTCAGTGCAATAGCCACAACAGGAAGTAATGTGAAATCCCTGGGGTTCAGCAGCGTCACTAGAACTTGTGTCCCCATTTAATGATTTCTCATCGATTCCTGTTCTAATGGCAACCCAAAATTTGGGATTTTCTTGTCACTTGTCACAGTCACCAGGACAAATAGAGAGGGTGAATCTCCCTAATGGGCACACAGACAGCAATACAAATCTGACAGGTGTTCTAATCCCTCCTCACTCTTTCCAAAACAAAAAAAAATGTTTTGGCTTCAGTTACTTTTTAAATTTTAGTGTTTCTGAAGAATTTTCTCTTACAGGTCATTTAAGTACTCCAGGCAGATAAAAAAAAACAACCATTCACTCCAGCTATGATTTTATTAACAATTAATAGAATATATTTTACATGTAGCTGGCAAAAGTAACAACATTTCTTTCAAAATCAACTTCTTTCCATTCCACACACTGGAAGAGGCAGGGACAGCAATAAAATTCAGGTTGCATTGCGCCGTGTTGTCCACCTAATGAAACAAACATCTTGACAGGAGAGAGCAGAGTGACGCAGAGTGTCTAGCTGTTCCTTCATTTTCCATTCATATGCTGGAGTGGGTTCTAGCCCAGGCAGAATTGCTCAGCTGCAGGAAGGTTACAGAGATGGTAGGATGTGGCTGCACTGTCTAGCAGGGGTGCCTGGGTCACACAGTTGAATAAACATGATTGTAAAACAGTTCAAATTATCAGCTGTGTTTTAGTTTTGTGTCTAGAGTTTGTTTAAATGTAATCTTTGATGTCCGATACAAGGCTGGAGTTATAGCTGATGTAGTCACTGACATCTCTTTTTATAATTCACTATTTTCTCTTGCATTCCTCTTCTGTAAAGAAATATTGAGACAAGACTAAACTCAGGGAAATAGCATGCCTCTTTATCTCACACCCTTGCAGTACACTTCATATCCCTGCCCATAAGATGTATGTAACGCCTTGCTTTTGAATAAAAGCATGTAAAGTTTGCTACATTGAGTTCTAGGGTATAATGCACTGGTTTATCCACAGTGATTAATAACTTTTGTTCCTACACACAGCTTGGTGTAATTTGTACTTTCTGTGCAGAGTTGGCGTTACAAGTGGGAAAAAAACTTTTTAGTGTCCTAACTACCGATTGATTGATGAAGTATGTCATGGGTAGCTTTACTTTTAGCTTGCAGTAGTAGTGATAAATTGCTCCTGATCTAAACAACCTTACAAAAGAACTAGATCGGAAATATATATTTTGCTATGTTTTAGAAGAGGAGGAATTGCGCAATCTATCCCTTACTGTCAGAAAGTAAGGTTATTTCATCTGGCCTTTTAATGCACAGACAATAACTGTAGCTCCCAACTGCTTACAGTCAAAACAAGGATTTTGGTCACAATCATATCCCATCATGTTCCATCAGCTTAGGACAATATAGTTTGTTTTTTAAATTGATCTGAATATGTAAAAAGTACAGTAGCCCAGACCAATCAATCATCTTTTATTTTTTATTGATCCACCTAGAGAAAAAGATTTGCCTACCAGCGTTTCATTGATCTTTGCACATCATCTTTGCTTTTTGCACCATTTATTTAGAGAAGGACAATCATTTCCATTAAGTGCAATGAATCAATAAAAACAAGAGTAAAAAGTAAAAATTTAGGATATGGCAAGCACTTTGATGCTGTTTTAATCTATCTGCTCCTAAAAAGATCTACAGTTGAAACTTGGTTACTAGGGACAAGATATTAACATAAAAAAGGACTCCCCGAAGTTGTTCTCTGTAGTGTTGAGGGTGGTAAGTATAATCTGTAAGTTACACTTACCTCCCTTGTGTCCACTGCAAATTTTCCAGAGCAATTTCAATTTCCCCCCAGATTAACTGGTGCCTGCAGCTTCTGTTCCTGCACTATTGTTTCATGTGAAGTATCTGCCTCCATGGAAGTGTATGGGGCTCAGTAATTTATTTCAAATGATGCAAAACGAGTGTGATGACCGGAAGCATGGCAACTTTGGCTAAATTGCTTGGAGCGCAAGCAAATATTTATCTACAGCCTTTACAATGAAGGACACATTGGAGATAAGTGACTTGAAGATTGCACGTACATTCCCAAATGCTGCCAGAACAACTTTGTGGAATTCCTATTAATGTTATCTTGTCCCTAAATTAAAACAAGTTTTAAAGTGTTTGACATTTGCAAAATTTTCACTTATTTGTTCTTGTTTTTATTCATTCATTGTAATCAATATTATTATCCTTGATAAATTGAAAAGTGCAAAAAAGCAACGATGATATGCAAGGATCAATGACGCATTGTATCACGATTTTTTATTTTACGGTAGATCAGTAAAAACAGGATTTTTGAGCTTACTGAGGTGCACAGGATTCAAAGACTTCTGCATTATGGTGATACCTACATAAGAATTTGAACACTGACAAACAAAAAACAGTGACCAGCCTGGTATAACCCCTCACACTCCCAGCATGTGTAAGTTTTGTAACATCTAAAAAGATATATCACAGAGGCTCTGAGACTTCAAAGCCTATTCGTTTCAGAACATGAAAAGACCATAATCATTTGATGAGCAAACGTGCTGTGATAAGGCTGCTCAGGGATAGGTAAGAGGGTGGCAGTCTTTCTAATGGAGGCAGTGGCTGTGAGGTTGACACGTACAGCTCACACTCAAACCTGACAAAGGGAAATCTCCTGATGTACTGGATCCAGGCAGAGGCACAGAGTCCTGGTTACTGTGA